ACTTGGAAAGGATGCAGAAGAAAGAGTCCTTGGGACGACACCCCAGCAACCTCCATCAGGGGGCGATTCTGCATCGTCTTTTCCCTCCATTGTCTTACCAAAGGTGCAGCTCAAAACCACAATTCAAATACCCCGGGGCAATGCCATACTGACTGCGAAGTCACCCCTGAACAGCCATAAATCTATGCAGAAGGTACCATAAAACCCGATAATCAAAGAAAGTGAAAGCGGCATGCAGTGCAGGGCGGACCATAAAATCCAGTGATCAAAGAAAGTGAAAGCGGCATGCAGTGCAGAGGGGACTATAAAATCCAATGATCAAAGAAAGTGAAAGTGGCATGCAATGCAGGTAAAGCTAAAGCTAAAGGTTTCCCTTGTTCGAAAGCCAGTCGAATCCGACTCTAGGGATGCGGTGCTCATCTCCGTTTCCAAGCCGAAGAGCCAGCGCTGTCCAAAGACATTTCTGTGGTCATGTGGCCGGCATGACTAGACGCCAAGGAGCACGGAACGCTGTTACCTTCCCACCGAAGCGGTACCTATTTATCTACTTGCAATGTCTTGCTTTCGAACTGCTAGGTTGGCAGGAGCTGGGACCAAAGATGGGAGCTCACTCTGTCTTGCGGCACTTGGGTCTCAAACTGCTGCCCTACCGACCTTCCGGTCTGCAGTTCAGCGTCTTAACCACTTGAGCCACCGCAGCCCCATGCAATGCAGAGGGTACCATAAAACCCGATGACCAATGAAAGTGAAGGTAGCATGCAGTGCATAAAATCCAATGATCAAAGAAAGTGAAAGCGGCATGCAATGCAGAGGGGAATTTCTGTTCCAATGTGGATTTGCTAAAACAACTGAGGGAAAAGCCAGTGCAGAATCACCCAGGGACTCTAGATGGTGGTGTAGAATCATCCACTTATGCAAAAGTGACTTAGAGGCATCCAGGTGAAAAGGGGGGAGGGACCCCCCCAGGGACCCCCCCAAGATAAAGTACATGAAACCGCTTTACACAGAGTCAGACCGTTGCTCCATCCTGCTCTGTATTGTGTCACCCCCAAATGGCAGCGGATCTCCCCAGTCTTAGGCAGAGAAAGGCCTCCCAGACTTAGAGCTGGCAACCCTTCAAAAGTCTCTCTCTCATAAACACACGCGTGTGCACTCCCCCACGCAGCATAACTCTGCTTCCAAAGCCGAGCCCTTCCCTCTCCAAGCTCTGTCTGGCTTCAAACCCCCACTCCAGATCTTCACAACGGCTTTGTGTGTGCGCCAGCAAAGCATTTCTGGAGCCCAGCTCCCTGCAAACTCCCCGAGGCGGCCTTGCCCGGCATCTGTGTCTCCCAAAGGCTCTCCGCACGGCCTGGTTATATAACCGGCCCCTGTCACACTTGTTTATGACAGGCTCCTCTCCGGCTTGAGCCAGATCGAAGGTTGTGTAACTAGAGAGCTCTGAAACGCGACTTCTCCAAGGCCTGGGTCCGTCCCTCCGCATTCTGTGCAGAACTCGCCCAGGTGTCCGGCCTCCTCCGAGGGCATCTCCTTGCCAGGAGAACTGGAAGGAAGCGGCTCCCGTGGGTTTGATCGTCCTCAAAGGCTCCCCCACCCTGCCCTTTCGGCACAAGTTTGCATCACCGAAGCCGGGCCTTCCTAGGAAACCTTTGCGGGAGTTCTAAGAACTCCGCTGCCTTCTCAGAATGCAAAGCCAGGCTCGGTCAAACGGGACTCGCGCAGGCCTCCCCACACCAAAGACAATTCTGCATTATTAACCAGCACCGCCCCCTGCAGTTTGTCACCCGATACAAAGTCTGTTCCAAGTTCACCTCCCCTCCCTTTGGGGCCTGAATAGCTGCAAAGCACATGAATGAGTTGTGGGCAATGCTCCCTCTAAGCTGTGAGGTCTTGTGAGCAAAAATTAAGGTTGTGAGTGAGCGATTTGGCTGCTGCATAAATTAGTTTGTGCTGGAACCATCCTTCTTGAGCAGAGACAAAAATGTGTGAGCTGGAGGCTAAAAAACTGTGAACTGGCTCACACTAACTCAGCTTGGAGGGAGCACTGGTTGTGGGCAATGTGCCCTCTAAGCTGTGAGGTCTTGTGAGCAAAAATTCTACTTTGTGAGCTACTGGCATTAAAGTTGTGAGCAAGCAATTTGGCTGCTGCATAAATTAGTTTGCTCTGGAGCCATCCTTCCTGAGCTAAGACAAAAATGTGTGAGACAGAGGCCAAAAAATTGTGAGCTAGCTCACACTAACTCAGCTTAGAGGGAACACTGGTTGTGGGCAAGCCCTACTTAAAGGGAGCGGCTATTTTAAATTCAGGAAGGCCTGAGGCACCAGCGGGCGGGGGGGGGGGGGGGGGGGGGCTGGCACACAATTGCTGATGTCAGCGGTGAGACACAGGAAAAGGCCTCCTTAACCCTCTCCTCCCAAGTCTGCTGGACCGAAGAAAAGAGATTGGATTGATACCCCGCCCTTCACTCGGAGTCTCAGAGCGGCTTACAGTCTCCCTTCCCTTCCTCCTCCCCGCAACAGACACCCTGTGAGGTAGGCGGGGCTGAGAGAGCTCTCTCGAGGACTGCCCTTGAGAGAACAGCTCTGACAGAACTTGTGACTGATCCAAGGTCACGCCAGCAGCTGCACGTGGAGGAGTGGGGAATCAAACCCGGTTCTCCCAGATTAGAGTCCGCGCACTTAACCACGACACCAAACTGGCTCTCAGAGGCTCTGACCACATTGCCCCCTTACACACTTCATTGCCCCCTTACACTTCAGCCGCTCTCTAAGAAATCAGCAGATCTGGTGTGTACAGGGAAGGGAGCTCCCAATGCCTCGGAGATGCTGTTCAGGGCACTAGTCAGGCCAGGCGGTTTTGGCCACGTACAAGGTGCCATTAAGCATTAAAGTCAACCGACCTGTAAGCTGTGTTGTCTTGCGAGCCAAACTTCTCCTTCGTGAGCTGCCGGCATTGAAGTTGTGAGCGAGCGATTTGGCTGCTGCATAAATTAGTTTGCTCTGGAGCCCTCCTTCCTGAGCTCAGACAAAGAACGTGTGAGCCAGAGGCTAAAAATCTGTGAGCTAGCTCACACTAACTCAGCTTAGAGGGAACACTACTACAAGCCACTGACAACTGGCCAGTTTGGTGTAGCGGTTAAGTGCAAGCCATAGTACTGTTCTTGAAAGAGCAGTTCTCTCAGAGCTCTCTCAGCCTCGCCTACCTCACAAGGTGACTGCTCTGGAGAGAGGAAGCCAGTCTGGTGTAGTGGTTAAGTGCGCGGACTCTAATCTGGGAGAACCGGGTTTGATTCCCCACTCCTCCACATGCAGCTGCTGGATGACCTTGGGCAAGCCATAGCTCTGAGTCTGACACAACTGTTTTCTCAAGGGCAGTTCTTGAGAGAGCTCTCTCTGCCCCGCCTACCTCACAGGGTGCCTGTTGTGGGGAGGGGAGGGGAAAGGAGATTGTAAGCCGCTCTGAGACTCCGTCGGGTAGTGAAGGGCGAGGTATAAATCCAATCTCTTCTTCTTCTTCTTCTATATGACCCTCCATAAGTTCCCTTATAAGTTTCTGGGCCTGGATACCAACTCTGGCCCCTCTGAGTGTATTAAACGTATTGCAGTCCAATGAGGGCAACCCACCTGCAGAACCAGCTGCGCAGACATGGACGACGTTGCTGTTCGGCACGAACACGTTGTTGAACAGCTCCTTGGCTTTGGAGTAACATGCAAAGTAGACCGCCCTGCACAAGACAGAGAAGTTCGAACTCACAAACGGGGGCAGATTCAGAGGAAGTGAGCACCCTTCCTTTTACTCAAGCCGAACACGAGCGCCTTCACTTCTGACTTTTCTGCCTCACAAAAATGCATCAACAAGGACACCTGGAGCCCTGACCTGGATAGTCCAGGCAAGCCCGATCTTGTCAGATCTCGGAGGCTAAGCAGGGTCGACTCTGGCAGGTACTTGGATGGGAGACCTCCTTGGAATGCCAGCAGTTGGGAGGCGGGGGCAGGCTTTATTCAGCCACCTCTCTGAATATCCTCCAGGCCCCCAGTAGGGGTCAGTCACCAGAGGATGCCGTGACTTCCAGGTGCACACACACACGCGCGCCCGTGAAAAACACACATACAAACACAAAAACAGAGACAACAAAGAATTCAGATAGGCTGTTTTTCAAAAGGGCTTCTACTTGTTGAACTGATGGAATAAGGAGGACAGTTTCCAAAACGGGGGTGGGTGGGTTTAGGGAAGTGTTAAATTGGTTTTAGCTTCACGATATGCCTGCGAGGCAAAGAGGGGGGAATTTAAACAAATTTAAATGGCTGCAGAGCAGCAGTCGGAACTGTTCTGGGACTCTTCGGAGTCCTGAGGTGTCTGCTTATCGTGGCATTTACCGTTTCTTTCAACTCACGGACTACGCTACGAATGCTCTGCACTCAAACAAGTTCAGTTAGGGGATGAGCTACCCACGCGGCAGAGTACAATCGTAGAACGGGTGGAACCTCTATGAACTTTCTGCTAAGGAAAACTCCCTGACCAGTGAAAGCGAGGACTGCAAGGACACCACGGGGCTTCAAGTTCTCCTTCTACCGCACTGCCTTTCTGCATTGCTTATCTTTACAAAGTGGCACCCCCCACACACCCCATAACCGGTCCATTCCTCTACTTTGTTCCCCTGCTTGCACTGGCACCCTGAAACGCCCCTCTCCAAAGAGCGATGAATACATGGGATTCACTGCCATAGGAGGTGGCGGCTACAAGCGTGGACGGCTTCAAGAGGGAATTGGAGAAACATCTGGAGCAGAGGTCCATCAGTGGCTATTAGCCACTGTGGCTATTAGCCACAGGGTATAGATGGGAACCCTCGGTCTGTGGCAAGGGATGCTCTGTATTCTTGGTGCTGGAGGGGGGGGGGCAACAGTGGGAGGGCTTCTAGTGTCCTGGCCCCACTGCTGGACCTCCTGATGGCACCTGGTATTTTTGGCCTCTGTGTGACACAGAGTGTTGGACTGGATGGGCCACTGGCCTGATCCAACACTGGCTTCTCTTATGTTCTTATGTCTGAGACAAGTGATGCTCTGTATTCTTGGTGCTGGGGGGGGGGGCAACAGGGGGGGGGGTTCTAGTGTCCTGGCCCCACTGCTGGCCCTCCTGATGGCACCTGGTATTTTCCACTGCTGGACCTCCTGATGGCACCTGGTATTTTTGGCCTCTGTGTGACACAGAGTGTTGGACTGGATGGGCCTCTGGCCTGATCCAACACTGGCTTCTCTTATGTTCTTATGTCTGGGGCAAGTGATGCTCTGTATTCTTGGTGCTGGGGGGGGGGCAACAGTGGGGGGGCTTCTAGTGCCCTGGCCCCACTGGTGGACCTCCTGGTGGTATTTTTGGCCACTGTGTGACCCAGAGTGTTGGACTAGATGGGCCATTGGCCTTGGCTTCTCTTGTGTTCTTATGTTCTTAAAGGTGAGCGATGTTGTAGGATGCTGATGTAACAAAGGGGGCGAGACAGAAGCCCCTATTCATCCAAAGAGTAATTAACTTGCGCAATTGACCGACTCACGGTGGCCCCAGAAGGACCATGGGGTTTTCTAGGCAAGAGACGAACAGAGGTGGTTTTGCCCTTGCCTGCCTCTGCGTAGCGACCCCCGTCTTCCTTGGCAGCCTCCCATCCAAGTACCGATCACGACTAACCCTGTTTCGCCTCCAGACTCTGACAACACTGGGGCAGGCTGGACTATCGGGCCGTTACGATCGATCGCTATTTCACTTGGCTTTAAAAAGTGATTAAGGCCCACCCATGGCTGTTAGCCAGGACAACTAAACTGAACCTCCGTGTCTGAAAGGAGGAACCCTCTGAATTGCCTGAGGGGCAAAAACAGAGGCAGGATTCGGCCTCTTTGCTGCAATTTATTTATTTGTTTTATTAAATTGGATTTCTAAACCGCCCTCCCCCTGTAAACAGGGTGGCGTGCAACAGCGGAACGCATCTGTATATTAAATTCACAGTTAAAACCGTAAAGACACAATAAACCATACAATAAAAAGACAATCGTTAGCCTAATTAGATGGTGCTAAGAACTTCCAGGTATGCCACTGGCCTAAAGGGGGGGAAGGCAGGAAACAGGAGTGCCGGACAGAAACCGTCACAGAGATGCTTGGCAGAACATCTCCACCTTACAGGCCCTGCGGAACTGCACTAAGTCCCGCAGGGCACGGATGTTATTCGGCAGAGAGTTCCGCCAGGGTGGAAAACACCCCGGCCCTGGTTGAGGACAGCCAGATATCTCTGGGGCCAGGGACCACTAGCACGTTCTTATGTGCTGAGCGTAACGCTCTTCGGGGGTATACCAGGAGAGGCAGTCCCAAAGGTATGTGGACCCAGACCAATGCTTCCCTCTAAGCTGTGGAGTAAAAAGTCTACTTTGTTGTTGTTTTTTAAACTTTAGAACTATTATTTATTCACATGCAGTGTAAAAAGTCTACTTTGTGAGCGACTGGCGTTAAAGTTGTGAGCCAGCGATTGGGCTACTGCATACATTAGTTTGCTCTGGAGCCATCCTGTGTGAGCTAAGGCAAAAATGTGCAAACCAGAGGCTAAAAAATGGTGAGCTGGCTCAAGCTAATTCAGCTTAGAGGGAACACTGGCCCAGACCCTTAAGGCTCTTAAAGGTTAACACCAGAACCTTGCAAGCCTCCTTTGGGCATTTGGACTGCCACGCAGAACTGGCAGCTAGCCCAGATGGACCACTGCTGTGATCCACGATGTGTGTTCTTATTCAAGAAAGGCTTTTTAATTCTTGCAGGTGTTTACACAGGACGGCGCCAGTGTCCCCTCTAAGCTGAGTTAGTGTGAGCCAGCTCACAGATTTTTTGGCCTCCGGCTCACACATTTTTGTCTTCGCTCAGGAAGGGATGGCTCCAGAGCGAACTAATTCATGCAGCAGCCAAATCACTTGCTCACAACTTCAATGCCAGTCGCTCACAAAGTAGAATTTTTGCTCACAAGACTCCACAGCTTAGAGGGAGCACTGGAAGGCGCCCTCAAATCCCTCCCCCGGTTCTGGCCCCAGCCAAAGTCCTGATACCAAAGAGCTATCAGGAGAATATCTGAGCTTCAGACAATGTGCTATTTTTCTCAGAGAGACTCCCAAACAAGGAGATATCTTTCAGCTGGGATCTCTGTATTTTTGTTCAGCTCTTTCAAGGAGAGATTCCAAAAATGGCACCGAGGCCAGTGTGGGACAGTCTGCCCTTGCAACTCGAGGGAAGGAACGCCTGCCAATTTAAAATGGTTACGGTTGAGAAAATAAGGAACCTGTAAGCGTGTCCGGCTGTTGCTAGATGCACAGTGCACTAAAAACAGAAAAACAAAGGGAAACTGACTTTGTTCAAGAGCACACCTAAGTCAGTATCTCTTTGCTTATCAGGCATAATGTAGTCTGACTTTGGCTTGCTGAGGGACAAAGAGCTATTCAGAACAGAGGCCTCACAACTCAGGTGGGCTGAAAGCTCGTATTCAGCTCCCCCTTCTGGGGGCCCTGAATTCCAGCAGTGCTACAACACGGCAGGCTGGAAACGCACTTAAAAGAACTGAAATTTTAAAAAGGTTTGAAGAGCCCATTACGCAATGTGTCCATTGATCCACCTGTTTTATTTTTTAAGGGATCTGGTTTTATTATTGCATCTCCCTCTTTATTGATTCCTGCGCTTTCAGTACTGGGATTGCAGCTTTCAGAAGGAATCAAGTATTCATTTCGCTTTTTTTGTATAGAATAGAGATAAAGCAATTTCACGATCTGTACCTCGAGGGCGCAACCCCGACCAAGTTTGGTCCTAGCCCTCGGAAAAGTGACCTGGGCCCTTCTTTTTCCAAAATGGACCTGTAAGAAAAAGACGATTGAGTAACATTTGCAAAAGAACCACAACAGTGACATGAAACGGACATAAAATCAGGATGTTGACTTGAGTAGACATTTCCTGGAAATTGTGAAAGGACCGGATCGGCAAGGAGACCAAGCCGTCAAGAAAGCACAGTCCATTTCTGTCAAACCATCAGCTGGTATTCTCAAGAACAAATATCTCCATTTCTAATGCATAAATGTGCCTATCGGACCTCAGGCGGGGGGAAGACATAAGAATCTCCCATGTTTTCAAATTAAGTGAAGAACTCCCTTCCTTCCACTGGAGACTCACCCCAAGGTTGAACCACAGCCTCTCTCCTGCAAGCACCACACCACGATAGTTGGCAACTACATTTGCCAAGGGGCTGTCCTCAACGGGCCAAGTCCTGGTTAACTCGGGAACTTTGAAACAACGCTGAATTATTCCAGCTCCGCAGCCTTCCTGTGCTGCCAAATACACCATTATCTAATTTGTATGGATTCTGCAGGGTTGCCTGCCAGAATAATTGGCTTCATTAAGATATTTTTTTTTTGGCCTGGCTCAGAGTCTTCCTTTGCATCTGCAAAAAAGACACAGCCAATTTTTTAAAAAATGCAAACAGAAGCAGCAGAGCGCTCCTGCAAGTGGGGTTTGTGCTCAGTATTTTCACTCAGGTCTGCTCCTGCTAAGCTCTGTCCGGGAACAGGCCACAAAACTTGGAAGGACAGCCAAAATGGGATCACGGACTTAACTATTCTTCTGCCTTGCAATCACACTGTGAAATGTAGCCCAATCTTTTGTGTGTGCGCTCTGAAGAAAGGTCCACTGAATGTATGAAACTGATCTTATACCAAACTCAGACCACTAACAGGCAGGGGTCATTTCCTGCAGGAGCGCACAGGAGCGAAGCTCCGGCAGTAAGGAGCCCAGGGGGCGGGCACATGCAACAAGCCCCGCTCCCTGCTCCCAGCAGCCCTCATTCGGGCCAAGAGGAACAAGAAGCAGCCAGGTAAGTTGCAGACACACACCCCCGGCCCACCTTCAGGTACAAGCTCTCCCTCCTCTGTGAGAGCAGATCTGTGTGTTCCCCCCCCCCATAGCTAGCAATCCAAAACAGTCCAGTGGCACCCCCCCCGCGGGGACACCGCCTCCCGCCCCCCCCCCCCCCAGCTAGCAATCCAAAACAGTCCAGTGGAGCCTGAGCTGTGGGTGTTGCCTTCCGACACACTTCTGGTGATGTCAGGGGGTGTGGCATATACAAATAAGTTGTGCTCATTAGTTATGCTAATGAGCGCCTGCACCTCTTTTTCTACAAAATGACCCCTGCCAACAGGTCATATTATTTTGCCTTGCAATGAGGGGAAAAAAGACACACTGTGAAATGTGGCCCAACCTTTTGCATATCCACTCTGAAGAAAGGTCTACTGAATACATGAAATTGCCTTCTAACAACTCGGACCACCAACAGTTCATCGTGAAAACATGAAGTTGCCTTATAATGAATCAGACCATTGGTCAGTTTTATCTGCTCAGATTGGCTACGGTTCGAGGTCTTTCGCATCACCTCCTCTCTAACCCTTGTCGCTGGAGATGCTGGGGACAGAACCTGGGACCTTCTGCATGCAAAGAAGAGGCTCTCCCACTGAGCCACGGCCCCTCCCCAATCATTAAGGTCAGTACTGTCCACTCTGACTGGCAAGGGCTCTCCAGGGTCTCAGGTGGAGATATTTCACATCACCTACTGCCTGCTCCCTTTTAAGTGGAGATGCCAGGGACTGAACCTGGGACCTTCTGCATGCCAAGGTCTTTCACATCCCCTACTGTCTCCTACTTTCAGCTGAAGATGCCGGGACCTTCTGCGTAGCAAGGAGAGGCTCTTCCGCTGAGCCACAGCCCCTCTCCCTCTTGCTTGGTTCTCTCTCTTCTGATTGGGTCACGACCACCTGTCACCTGAGATTTCCTCAATGAAGGATGTCAGAGACTGAACCTCGGGTCCTACTTGTGCTGCGCCACTGGAGCATGGCTCCACTCCACCGCGTTCAATGGGACTTGCTTCCAAGTAAGCATATGTATAAAAACGTAAAGGTTCCCTTGCTCGAAAGCCAGTCGAATCCGACTCTAGGGTCGCGGTGCTCATCTCCGTTTCCAAGCCGAAGACCCAGCGCTGTCCGAAGACGTTTCCGTGGTCATGTGGCCGGCATGACTAAACACCAAGGCCCATGGAACGCTGTTCCCTTCCCACAGAAGTGGTACCTATTTATCTACTTGCAATTTCTTGCTTTCGAACTGCTAGGCTGGCAGGAGCTGGAACTAGAGACAGGAGCTCACTCCGTCATGCGGCACACTCGGGTCTCGAACTGCTGAACTACTGACCTTCCACAGCCTGCAGTTCAGCGTCTTAACCACTTGAGCCACCGCAGCTCCTAAGCATATGTATAATTGCAGCTTTATATAGCTACGGCTGAATCAGGAAGTCCCCTGGTTCAACTCTCACCTCTGCCACTAGCGTGAGACTCTCTTTTAAATCTGCAATACGGGGATAACTAACGGCGACCTAACCTGGCAGCCCTCCCGGACGGATTACCGAGACGATACGTGCAATCTGCCCCAAGCGCTCAGAAAGCTCCACGAAAGCCCCACATCGTGTCAACACAGTGCAGAAAATTCAGAAACTGCACGAGGGACCTCCGTTTCTTTCCCCGAATTACGGCTTTGGAGCTTTGCAGAGGATGAGTTACGGCGCACAACTTGGGCCCACCGGCTCCTCTACTCACTTGAGAACCTGCAGAAGTCCGGGCGATACCGAGGTCGGCCGGACCACCCCTGCGCCGCTGAGGGTGCCCAGTTGGACTTGGGGATAGTAGACAGCCCGGAAGGCCAGCTTGGAAGACTGCAGCCGCGTCTTGATGACTTCCAGGGGGCACGTGAAAATAGCCCCCACGGTCCCCCCGCACCTGGAGAGGACATAAAAAGGTGCCCAGGTAAATAAAAACAGGCACCCAGATCGACACCTTGACTGTTATCAGCAAGCCAGTTGTATCTCACATTGAAATGACTCGGCGCAGAAAATCAGGTTGGAACACCAGCCAATGCTCCCTCTAATCTGTGGAGTCCTGTGAGCAAAAATTCTACTTTTTAACGGGCATTAATGTGAGTGAGTGATTTGGCTACTGCATGAATTAGTTGGCTCTGGAGCCATCCCTTCCTGAGCGTGGACAAAAAATGTGTGAGCCAGAGGCTAATGAAACTGTGAGCTGGCTCACACTATCACAGCTTAGAGGGAACAATGACTCACCACTTATTTGGCAAAACAAATGAGACCCGTACCCATGAAGCTTGGCAGGGGTGGCAGAAGAAATAGGAATGCCCTTGGGCATGTGCAGAAAGCAGCTTCCCTTCTCTAGGCAACCAATACCATGCAGTTGGCACAAAGGAGCAGACAGTATAACACACTTAAAACCGTTTTAACTCTCTTCCCAGTAATGCCAACCGGAAAAGAATTCTCTTTTTTTTTTAAAAAAAAAACTATTTTTATTAATAGGATAACACAACATTAACATTTCATAAAATAGTTCATTTTATATCCCATCTTTCCAGTTTCCCCTCCCCTCTGCTCTGCTTCCCGCAATGCTTCCACCCCTTTAACCCTTTCTTCATCCATTATTTCTGTATTTACTTCATATTCTCTTAACATTAAAAATCGTTTCATATTTCTTCTATATTTTTTTCCAGGTAACAATTACTTTTAGTTATAACAAATTTCTATCTCTAACATTCTATTTCAATACTCTTCAAAACAATGTAAGTTATTTGTTACATCCCAATTTATCCCTAAATATTCTTTAAAGTCTTTCCATTCTTCAAAAAAACCTTCATCTTCTTCATTATTTAATTTTTTCGTAAGTTTGTCCATTTCTGCCATGAATAACACTTTTTTGATTGATCCAGTCCCATATCTCTGGTGTTTTATCTTGTTTCCAAAATTGTGCATATGTCATTCTGGCTGTGGTAATTAAATACCACAGCAAAGTTCTTTTAGTCACATTTACTTCTTCCATGTTCAGACCCAAAAGTAATTGGAAAAGAATTCTCTTAGCTCTTCAACGACCCCATTCCAATGTGAAATCCAATGGCAGCCTTGGAGGGCTATTCTGAACTGGGGAGCATTTAGATCCCAATATAAAGGTTTTAAATACTGGGGGGGAGAGACGATGAGAGATTATTTTCTTATTATGATAGGAAGGTGGCTTCTTAAGAGTTCTTAGGAAGCAGGGTCTTCTCAGTTATGGCACCGACCTTGATATTCTTTTCTTTTTTTGTTATTTTTGCATTTTCTGTGTGTGCGCCTGGAAGTCATGGCAACTTCTGGCGACACCTACTGGGGCATGGAGGATGTTCAGACAAGTGGCTTGCTTGCCTGCCCCTGCCTCCCAACCTTGGTATTCTTTGGAGGTCTCCCATCCAAATACTTGCCAGGGTCGGCCCTACTTAGCGTCCGAGATCTGATGCGATTGGGCTTGCCCGGCCTACCCAGGTCAGGGCATGGCACCTTGATTCTCAACCCCCCTCTGCCCACTCCCTTGGGACCAAGTGGAAACACCCTTTTGCACACCTGGTTTGTAAATTTCATTTTTTTTTTTTTTTTTACCCTTTGCTCTAATGTACTGACCGACCGTAACTGTTTTTATTGGCTCTACTGGCTGGTAACTGGATTCTGCAGCTTAAACTGCTATTTGGTTTTTATTTGTAGTGGGTTTTAAGAGATGCACCAAGATAACGCTTTAATCCACTGCAGCCACACCTAGTTATTTTAACAACCTGTTGCGGTATTTTATGAAGGCTTTTGCTAACTGTCTGTAAAAGAGTCACACAGCATAGGGGTGCCCTGGAAACCCCCCCCCCCCCGCACACAGGGTGAGTGACACAGGAAGTTCCGCCTTTGGCGTCTGGGACCTCCGACGTGCTGAACAAAGGAAAAAGCAGAGGAAAATGGCCATCAGGGTCCCTTCCACACTCCATTTTGAAGCTTATTCTCTGCCACTGAAAGGAGTGCAGTACCAGCCGTACGTACGGGAGAAATAAAATGCCAACCGAGCCCCGGAGAGTTTCAAAGCACCGACTGTCAAGGGCCCGTCTTGGACGCCCGGTAATTCGTTTCACCCCAACCGGCTGATGCCTACAAATGCTGCACTCCCCAACTAGAGAGTTAAACTAATCGATTTGCCCAAAATGAGAGTAGGTATCCTGAACCACCCAGAGTAGCAGGACACAATGTTAGTTACAACTGTGCTAGTCCATTGTCCTAGATTGCTAACGGAATCCAGTTTCCCCACACCCACCAGGTTACTCAACCGCCCCTGGGAGCCCTACCAAAAACGGATTTATTCCAGCCCTACATTCAAACCCCCAAGAAACAGCAGTATAAAAGGGCTCGATTCTAGTAGTAGAACCTTCGAGACGAACAGGATTTTGGGGGTATGAGCCTTCGAGATACCGTTTTGTTGGTCTTTATGGTACTACCGGAGTAGAAACTAGTTCTTCTACGGCAGACCAACACAGCTGACCTCCTAGAACAATATCAAAGGGTCTCTTATGCCCAGCAGTTTAGATTACAGGATTTTGGGGGTATGAGCCTTCGAGATACCGTTTTGTTGGTCTTTATGGTACTACCGGAGTAGAAACTAGTTCTTCTACGGCAGACCAACACAGCTGACCTCCCAGAACAATATCAATTGTTATCAAATATGCCCAGCAGTTTAAATTACACTATCCTTTGGAGCTAGGCACAGAGTCCGTCCCTCCTCAAATACGGTTCTCAGACAGGCTACGTATATTTTATATCCTCCCTTCTATTCCCCTCTGGACAGCAGCGACCCACCTACGAGGTATCTTCGTATAGGACTAGATTGCGTGGGTATCAAAAGGATATCCTGGACCAACTGCCTAGTTCTGGATTTGTTTCCATCTCTCTGCTTTTCATTTCCGCTGTCTCTTTTATTCTAAACAGAAGTGTACGCTTAAAATGTCCTTTGACTCCTTCCATTGCTGGGAAACACTGCACCAAGTTTGACCCCTTGCATATGCTGGCTTCGAAAGTCCCAGAAAGGGAACACGGACCGCTGTCTGGTATCAGAGGAGTCTTTAGGTCCTCTGTGTTCCCTTTCTGGGACTCCCCCTATGAGAAATGGCTGAAGAGTTCAGAACAGAAATGACTAAGCGGGAGGGGTGGGAAAGGACACGATAAGAGATTCATAAAATTATACACGGGGCGGAGCGAGCTGACAAAGAGAACTTCTTCTTCCCCCCTCTCCCAAAAGACTAGAACGCAAGGGCACCCAATTAACCTGATGGAATGTAGATTCAGGACGGACAAAAGGAAATAGTTCTTTACGCAGAGAGCAATTAAAGTACGGAATTTGTGCCAGAGGATGTAGTGAGGGCCACAGGCATTTCCAGCTTTAAACGGGGATTAGAGACGTTCATGGAGGATAAGATCTCTCAGTGTCTACTAGCCATGGAGACTAAAACAAACCTCCATGTTCAGAGGCAGTCAACCCCTGAATCCCAGTGCCAGGAGGCAATATCCGGGAAAAGCCTCGGCCCGCTCGGCCCTGTTATTGGCCCTCAAGAGGAACTGGTTGGGCACTGTGAGAGATCGGATGCTGGGCCACTGGTCTGATCTGGCAGGGTTCTCTTTATGGTCACAACCAATGCTCCCTCTAATCTGTGGAGTCTTGTGAGCAAAAATTCTGCTTTGTGAGCTACTGGCATTAAAGTTGTGAGCAAGCAATTTGGCTACTGCATAAATTAGTTTGCTCTGGAGCCCTCCTTCCTGAGCTGAGGCAAAAATGTGTGAGCCGGAGGCTAAAAAACTGTGAGCTAGCTCACACTAACTCAGCTTAGAGGGAACACTGGTCACAACTGTAATTAAATGCCGGGCTCTTATGTTCTACCTGCATTCTGTATAACAACATAAAAAATACGTTAAACTTGCCTCCCCCCCAGAACATATTCCAGAATGCTTTGCAATACACGGAAGATTCCGTGACAGTCCAGTTTAGGAGAGGCTGAGGGAGGAATGTGAAAAGATACTGCCCCTAATAAATTACCTCTGATAACCACACAGTAATCCTTTGTTTATTGCATTTTTGCGACCTGCGGAGGCTTCTGTGTGGCCTTGACAGTCACAAAGAAACTGTAGATTCCACTCTGAAACTTTAAACCTTAAGCCAAGTATTCAGTGACCTCTTTGTACTTTAATGGGAACGGCCACCAAAAGGGCCGAAGTGGTATAAATGAGGTCCAGCAATGGAGGGAAATATCAGGGGTCATAGCTGGGGGGGGGAGGGGGGCATTGTCAGGAATATTCCTGACCACTGCAATGAAAATGGGTGGATGTGAGCTTTGCAAATTAACTGGCCCAGAAAAAAAAAAATTACATAGTTATGCATGCCATAAAAGTATTTTGCTAGCCCACGTTACAATTACTATTAGAACGCACATATGAACTGCCAACTGCCATCATTAAATGGCTTCTGTTAAGCTACCCTGCCTGGTTTAGAGACCCAATTTGGTGTAGTGGTTAGCAATGCTCCCTCTAAGCTGTGGAGTCTTGTGAGCAAGAATTCTACTTTGTGAGCGACTGGCATTATAGTTGTGCGTGAGGGATTTGGCTGCTGCACAAATTAGCTTGCACTGGAGCCGTCCTTCCTGAGCAGAGACAAAAATGTGTGAGCCAGAGGCCAAAAAACCTGTGTGCTACCCCTCACTAACTCAGCCAAAAAAACTGTGTGCTAGCTCACACTAACTCAGCTGAAAGGGAACACTGTTGGGGACCCAAAGCTGCTTACAACGCTCTCCTTTTCTCCATTTACTCCTCACAACAACCCTGTGAGGTAGGTTAGGCTGGGAGAGTATGATTGGCGCAAGTTCGCCCGGCAAGCTTCCATGACACAAGTGAGGACTCGAACCTGGATCTCCCAGACCCTAGTTTGACACTTAACCACCAAACTGAACTAGCTCACACTCTAAACTGAACTAGCTCACACTAACTCAGTTTAGAGGGAACACTGGTGGTTAGGAGTGTGGACTCTAATCAGGGACGACCTGATTCCCCACGCCTCCACATGCAGCTGCTGGAGTGACCTTGGGTCAGTCACAAGTTCTCTCAGAGCTGTTCTCTCACAAGCAGCCCCACCTAACTCACAGGGTGTCTGTTGTGGGGAGGGATTGTAAGCCGCTCTGAGACTCCTTCAGGGCAGGGTATAAATCCAATCTCTTCTTCTTCTGGTTGCCTGGAGGAGACAGCTGCTCACCCGAGGCGACCAAGTCAGTGGCTATTTATGAGTTTAAACTTCTCACGTTGGTGGCTCTGTCCTGTGTCGGTCCCCCAGCCAATCAGCCACTGGCCCATTCCAGATTCTTTTTCATGCAAGGGGGAAAACGAAGTTATGCTCTTCAATCCGAACAAACAGTTAGAAGGCATTAAAAACAAGGGATTACTCCACCAAGACATTCCCTCCCGAGCCGTCTTAATCTGTCTGACTTGACTTTGGCCGGAGACCCAAATCGCCCCAACAGCTTACAGATTCAGCAGGCTGAGACCTGAGACGTGGCCGTCCATCCCGGGGGGACGCACAGAGTCCGCAGAGTGGGGGGGACACCCTTAGGACTTTGGAGTCCGGCCGCTGTCTGTGCTGTGCTCAGTCTTGTGTACACACAAGCCGAGAGGGCGACACTGGCTTTTAAGCTCTGCAAACACAGCCACAAGCAGGGGACAGCACTTCACGATGTGTGCGTCTCCCGTGGGTACTCAAATCCCTCGCGGTTCACCTGTTCACAGCGACAAAAGGGCATCACTGGGGGAAGAGAAGCACTTTGACAGCCAACGCGTTGGTCCCCCAAAGTCGGGAAAGGAGGAGGCTTTCAAAAGTACATCACAATTGCTCTGTGTGTGTGTGTGTTAAAGTGGAGGAGGAGAAGATTGGATTTATACCCCGCCCTTCACTCCCCGAAGGCGTCTCGGTGCTGCTTACAATCTCCTTTCCCTTCCCCACAACAGACACCCTGTGAGGTGGGTGGGGCTGAGAGAGCGCTTTCGAGGACTGCTCCTGAGAGAGCAGCTCTGAAATAACCTGTGACTGACCCAAGGTCACACCAGCAGCTGCACGTGGGGGAGTGGGGAATCACAGAATGTCAGAGTTGGGAGGGACCTTGCAGGTCATCTAGTCCAACCCCCTGTACTCTGCAGGAGCATCGCCGAAAGACAGCCCTACAACATACCCGAAAGATGGTCGTCCAGCCTCCACTTGAAATGACAGAGGTTCTCCCAGATTAGAATCCACGCACTTAACCACCACACCAAACTGGCTCTCAAGAGTTCAGGCTTGATTTGATCTAGGACTCTCTGATTTGTCTTTTTGGTAGTCCACAGTACCGGTGAAACTCTCCTTTGACACCACGTTTCAAAGGAATCTACTTTCTTCCTGTTGGCTTTATTTATTGTCCAACTTTCACACTCGTACACAGTGTTCCCTCTAAACTGAGTTAGTGAAAGCTAGGTCACCATCTTTTAGCCTCCGGCTCACAGATTTTTGTCTTAGCTCAGGAAGGAGGGCTCCAGAGCAAACTGATTTATGCAGTAGCCAAATCACTCGCTCACGACTTTAATGCCAGGAGCTCACAAAGTAGAATTGTTGCTCACCAGACTCCACAGCTTAGAGGGAGCATTGCTCGTACATAGTAACGGGGAATACTATGGCATGAATAATCTTGATCCTCGTCGCCAGCAACACCTCCTTAAACTTCAGGGTCTTGGCTGGCTCCTTCATGGCTCCCCTTCCCCATCTCAATCGCCTTCAGATATCTTGGCTGCAATTTCCCTTCTGGTGAATGATGGGGCCGAGGAAGAGAAAACCTTGAACAATTTCAATGTCTTCATCATCACCCTTAAAGTTGTGCAATTCCCCAGTGGGCATTATTTTTTGGGCTGCGGTGGCTCAGTGGTTAAGACGCTGAACTTCAGGCTGGAAGGTCAGTAGTTCAGCAGTTCGAGACCCGAGTGCCGCTTGATGGAGTGAGCTCCCGTCTCTGGCCCCAGCTCCTGCCGACCTAGCAGTTCAAAAGCAAGAAACTGCAAGGAGATAAATAGATACCACATTGGTGGGAAGGTAACAGCATTCCGTGCACCTCAGCATCTAGTCATGCTGGCCACATGACCACGGAAACGTCCTCGGACAGCGCTGGCTCTTCAGCTTGGAGATGGAGATGAGAGTCAGATTCGACTAGCTTTTGAGCGAGGGAAACCTTTACCTTTAAGTCAAGGATTACACCAGGCAACCTCTACTGCGCAGTCCCGACCAGCGATACAGGGAAGCGAAGACCAGGAGCGGCATCCCTGCTGGCTGTGAACTTTTGCTATTCCTTCCCGCTCTGGCTAGAAAGCTGGGACGTGGCCGGAGGAGCCTAAAAACTCTTTGCCTGTGCCACGGCGGAGCCAGGACCGGCTGGTTCCTTGTACTTTTGTAAGACGTTTTGGGTCCCCATCAGGGACAAAAGCAGGTACAAATGTTTAAACAGAATAGAGAAACAAAAGAGCTTCTTTTTAAATTATAAACCGCTTTGGGTCACCGTCGGGGAGAAAACCAGGGTATAAGTGCTTAAACAGAACAGAGAAATAAAAACGCTCCTTCTAAGTCATCGGTTCATGAAGCGGCTCCACCCGACGACTGCCTTGTTGACCTACTTCCACAAATAAAGACACTTGCCCGGCTAAGCCCTACCGGGGAATTGCTTTTGCAGAGCTTCTCAGAAGCGGAGCCTGTCGTCACCGTGGGCAGCCACGTGACAATTATATCTACAAGCAATGCTCCCTCTAAGCTGTGGAGTCCTGTGAGCAAAAATTCTACTTGGTGAGCTCCTGGCATTAAAGTTGTGAGCGAGCGATTTGGCTGCTGCATGAATTCGTTTGCTCTGGAGCCCTCCTTCCTGAGCTAAGACAAAAATCTGTGAGCCAGAGGCTAAAAAACTGTGAGCTAGCTCACACTAACTCAGCTTAGAGGGAACACTGTTTACAAGCCCGGAGAAGGAATGGCAGGAGCTGGTGGGACCCAGTTGGACCCTCCAGGGGGCAGCTTACCAGTCCTCAGGCTCGGCTCCACTTGGCCACATGTAAACATAAAACTGATAAATCTGATAATAAACATTTAAGTAATATTACAGACAGCCCTGACCTGGACGGCCCAGGCTAGCCCGATCTCTTGCCCCCCAAGCACCAAGAATACAAAGAATCACTGCCCCAGACATAAGAACATAAGAGAAGCCAATGCTGGATCAGGCCAATGGCCCATCCAGTCCAACACTCTGTGTCACACAGTGGCCAGAAATACCAGGTGCCCTCAGGAGGTCCAGCAGTGGGGCCAGCTACAGCTAGCAGCTATCAATCGTTCTGCCCATCATCGACGTGTCCAGTCCCCCTTTAATGAACTTAAAACACTAATATCTAAATTTGCGACATACAAAACCACTGTCTCGTAGACACAAAGAGGGCTCACGCGGGGCTCCAGCAAAAGAGCATCAGCCAGCTTGGCTGGTGAAGGGGGCATTGTGCCCACTGCTAGAAATACAGCACTGGGTTAACCAGTGCAAATGTGTGCACTTCGGCGGCCCAAGCATGCGTGAGATGTTTCGATGGCACGCACACACCCCTCGACGTAACTAGGCATGTGTTTTCTTCCCAACACTTGGCTCACTTCCTCGGGTCACCGGCTGTTTTGCCTTCCCTGCCAAGCTGAACTCTCTTTAAGCTTCCATTTCACAGCTGATCCGCACCCCCTCTGTTGTGGAACACGCGTGTTTCAGCACGAGAGTACCACTCGGCAGCCAAGTACATGATTTTCATGCTCAGAACCCCAGCACCAATCCAGTTAGCGAATTCTGTGGAAGATCCTTCTCTGAGCGAGACCCTGGCAAGCCACTGGCAGGGGCAGCAGACAGACCCTGAGCGAGACAGATCAGCGGTCCGGTTCAGGAGAAACATAGGAGAAGCCATATTGGATCAGGCCAAGGGCCCGTCCAGTCTAGCACTCTGTGTCACACAGTGGCCAAAACTCAGGGGCCATCAGGAGGTCCACCAGTGGGGCCAGAACTCCAGAAGCCATCCCACTGTGACCCCCCCAAGCACCAAGGATATAGAGCATCACTGCTCCGGACATAAGAACATAAGAGAAGCCATGTTGGATCAGGCCAATTACCCATCCAGTCCAACACTGTGTCACACAGTGGCCAAAACCCAAGGGTCATCAGGAGGTCCACCAGTGGGGCCAGAACTCCAGAAGCGCTTCCACTCTTGCCCCCCAAGCACTAAGACTACAGAACATCACTGCCCCAGACATAACAGAAGCCATGTTGGATCAGGCCAACGGCCCATCCAGTCCAACACTCTGCGTCACACAGTGGCCAAAAATACCAGGTGCCATCAAGAGGTCCACCAGCGGGGCCAGAATTCCAGAAGCCCTCCCACATTTGCCCCCCAAAGCACCAGGAACACAATGCATCGTCGCCCTAGACATAAGAACGTAAAAGAACTCCAGAAGCCCTCCCACGTTTGCCCCCCAAAGTACCAAGAACACAATGCATCGTCGCTCTAGACATAAGAACGTAAGAGAAGCCATGTTGGATCAGGCCAAAGGCACCAAGAAGACAGAGCATCACTGCCTCAGACAGAGTGTTCTATCTGTACCTTCTGGCTGATAGCCACTGATGAACCCCGGCTCTTTTACTTCTCGCATACCCCGCCTTTCTCCCCAACAGGGATCCAAAGCAGCTTATGACACTGGTCTGTCCTCCATTTTATCCTCTCAACCAGTGATGGCGAACCTTTTAGAGACCGAGTGCCCAAACTGCGACCCAAAACCCACTTATTTATCGCAAAGTGCCAACACGGCCATTTAACCTGAATACTGAGGTTTTACTTTAGAAAAAACAACTCATACATTAACTTAAGATGATCCAAACAAAGTAAGGAAAGCAATCCCAAATGCTTTCATTTACTTAAAAGTATTTGGCAGAGAATTCGACACTTTAATGATGGTCTGGGCCTGGCTGGGGCGATGGCACGCGTGCCCACCGAGAGGGCTCTGAGTGCCACCTCTGGCACCCGTGCCATAGGTTCGCCACCACTGCTCTCAACAACCCTGTGAGGGAGGTCGGGCTGAGAGTGTGTGACTGGCCCGAGATCAGAATGAGGGATAGTAGCAGCCTGCACTCTTATCCACTGCGCTTCCCCAGGAGCACCGGCCAATCCCGGAACGCGCCAGCCGTCCCTCCTGCAAGCACCAAAGCGTTAAGAACTGCATGGGAAGCATTAACAGCAGCAGCCCTCGAACAGCCAGTGCAAACTGGTTGGGCAACGCAGTAAGGAACTCTTGCTCCTCCACCCCAAGGACTGCCCAAGAACGGAATCCTACAAACAGAAGGTGGTGACCTACCTGACTAGACGATGACACTGCTGCAAAAAAAAAAAAAAATGGCAAAGCCAAGTATCGTGCCGTTTTGCAGATTTATGGTATAGCCGGGCTGGAAATGTTCAATACAGTTCTTAGATCTGAGTCCAGTAGCACCATATGGATCTACGAGCAATGCTCCCTCTAAGCTGTGGAGTCTTGTGAGCAAAAGTTCTACTTTGTGAGCTCCCGGCGTTAAAGTTGTGAGCGAGCGATTTGGCTACTGCATACATTAGTTTGCTCCGGAGCCCTCCTTCCTGAGCAGAGACAAAAACGTGTGAGCCGGAGGCTAAAAAACTGTGAGCTAGCTCACACTAACTCAGCTTAGAGGGAACACTGCCTACGAGATTTCCGGAGTGTAAGAATTCATGTCATCCTGCCTCAAAATTTCTGTCAGAGCTGAAAAAAGGCATCCAACAGGGGCAAGCCAAGAGCTGAGGTTCCGTCCGTAGAACAGGATGAAGAGTTAGGGACTGCAAGTATTTTTGTTGAAAGTTTAAAATCCTGAACTCTTTAGCTCTTCTTTCTGGGGAAGGTGCTCCAAGCTTTTGCTGCTCAAGGCCAAGGAACGACACAGAGATGTTCAAAGGATGGACGCATGATTGAGTGATTTTAACAAAGTCGTGCTGATTTCTCTAACTTTGTTGTACATCGCCCAGAGCCCTGTGTGCTGAGAGGTTGGGCAATTCGCAAATCTAACGTGTAACCTAACGTGCGAGAGAAATTTCTCACCTTCTCATACAATAATGTGCAATTCAACCCGTTAAATTTTAAATTGAGGGAAACGGCTGGAAACAAAACGCGGCACGTCTTTAATGCTGTGCATCACGCAAGCGCATAATTGTTTCAAAGGATTCTTCTGTTTTTTAAAATGCAGGTCCTGCTTCTCCTCGAAACAATGCTCCAAAGTGCCAAAGAAATCAATAAGTTAGCAAACTATCCAATAATAATGAAAAAAGCTGACGTAGCAGCAAATTATAAACCAGAATAAGAACGAACAGTCAGTGTGGTGTGGTGGTTAAGAGTGTCAAACTAGGGTCTAGGAGATCCAGGTTTGAGTCCTCACTTGTGTCATGGAAGCTTGCAGGGCGAACTTGGGCCAATCATACTCTCCCAGCCTAACCTACCTCACAGGGTTGTTGTGAGGAGAAAACGGAGAAAAGGAGAACGTTGTAAGCAGCTTTGGGTCCCCAGTGTTCCCTCTAAGCTGAGTTAGTGTGAGCTAGCACACAATTTTTTTTGCCTCCGGCTCACACATTTTTGTCTTGGCTCAGGGAGGATGGCTCCAGAGCAAACTAATTGATGCAGGAGCCAAATCGCTCGCTCAG